GGACTTAACATTAAAATGGTTAATATTTCTTCTTAAAATCCCAAATTTTTATGTTTGAATTTAAAGAAAATCTTTAAAAATTATCTTTCAAGTAGTTAATATTATTTAATTTCATAAACTCAAATATTTTAAACTTAAAACCAATAAAATCTTTGGTTATAACATTCAAACTATAAATTATTTCTCTTAAATATATAATATATTTATTAGTTAAAAATGATATAGTTATGTTTTCTTATAATTCCAAGTTTTTAAGATTTATATCAACGAAAATATTTAGAAGTTCCATTGAAGTATTTAATATAACTATAACTTAACAACTAAAATTTCTAAGATTTAAGCCAATTAATATCTTGAATTTTGAATTTCCACCTTTAAAAAATTCCCCTAATTTTTCCTGCAGTGCAGCGTTTTATCATATGGTTCGCTGACTGACGAGTAAAACGATTTTGTCATCAGTCAACAGGCACAAATACACGTACATATCGCTCTCATACATAACAAATGCATATATATATATATTTATATATACATAAGTACATAGATACAATGTGCATTATTCCCATTTGGCTTTATTTATGCATTTCATTTTCTCGCTCTGATTTGCCCCGCACTTCTGGTTCAAAAATTTCTCTTTTAATTTTATTTGATTTGATTTTTCTTTGTTAATGCAGCGCGCCAAGTAGAATTCCACTCGTCTGATTGACACTTGAGCTGACATTCTCATTTCAATTCGTATCTGAATCCGAATCGTGGTATTAATGTATTTCGATTCCAATTTCAGCTTCTGTTTTTTTTTTTTTACTTTTCACCCTCTTTACGCCTTTCAATGTGTCATTCGGTTTCTCACAATTTTTTTTTATCTTGGATTTGATATCTTAAATTGGTCTATGAGTCAAGATCTAGGGGGGTACTTCGGTATCGTAGGATTGATAGGAAAATGGGAAGATGGGTTATGCACAAGAGACTTGTTAGGTTTTCCGGTTTATTTCTTGGGTGTCTGACCTTTTCTTCTTTTATAGATTAAATCGTAATTTATTTGTGTGTTGACATTTTTAGTTGATAAATATATTGCATTTTTTATAGTTTACGTTTATTAAGAAACTTATAAGCTTTTAATATCTTAATAGCTTTATTCTTAACCGTTTTATTTAGGAACTAAAAGCCCTTACCGTCTTCATAATTTTTCCGAATTTAACCAGTTTAAAAAGGATTTTTTCCTTATCACATGAATGCATGAAAAAGGCATATAAAAGGTTTCCAAAAACAAACTGTTATCTTTCGGAAAACTAGTTTAGTAACATTTTAATTGCCATATTTTTAAATAAAGTTAAAGAATAAATTTCATAACAAACACCTCTTACTAACTATAATTCTTAAAAACCAAATTGCTTAACTACTTTCTATTGACAGCCCAAAAGAACTCTTAAATTTGATCACTTTTTTACTACCTACTCCACACCATTTTCCACAATAAGCTTTATTTATCAATTATTAACTAATTTACCGGATTAGATTTCATGCTTGAGTAGTAAAAAACATAAAAAAAACATCGAATGACTCACACAAGCTGGGCAATAAAGAAAATAGACACCAATTTGTTGTTATTTTCTTGTTGTTTTTCGTTTTTATGAACCAGCAGCTAGTTTTTTATTTTAATTTGAGGCGTTGACAAAAGCTTCTGGCTTTGGTCACCCAATCCTAAGAGCTCTCTACTACCCGCCTCCCCCTCACTATTTTCCACTCAATCTATCTGTGGCTGCTGCTGTCGCGCTTAATAAAATTCATTAAAAAAAAGGAGAAGACCGCAGCCCAACAATAATAATAATCATAAAGTGAACTGAGGAGGGGGTTGTTGTGGGGGATAAAGGGTAGGGGGTAGTTGAGGAGGAGAGGAGGCTGGCAGCGAGGGGTAAACACTAAGACAAACAAATGCATCATTCTTCAGCTCAGCCATAGAGTTGGTAATTTAACTATTTTAATGCTAGATATGGAATATGTTTTAATTTTTATATTTATTTAATATCTTTTGTATTATTATATTATTAAAATATTATATCACTATATTGTTTATATCATATTTTATATTTTATAAATCATAAAGTTAATATAGCAAATAATGTTATAAGAAAATATTAGAATAATCATCACTCAAACGCCAGAATCTTAGGAGAAATCCTACAAAAAGACACCTTAAAAGTAACAACAAATTTGTTAACTACATTTTTTAGTATTTTCTTGTTCACTTTTTTAATTTAAAATATTTATAGTTTGACTGTTAGACATCTTTTTAAAGGATTTTAAAATATTATTCATTTGAAAAAGAGTTAAAAAGTCTCTTCTTAATCACAAACTTCCTGTACGTTGCTCATCTTAACTCGATAAAATATCATAAAAAAGTCATTCTGTAGGATACTTAACAGTCTTTAGAAGCATGTTAGGTGCTTTATGTAGAAACTTTAAATATTTTTATTTACAATTTCAAAATGAAAACAATTATCAAAACCCGACAGCACTGCCCCCCTTGCAGTAGCATTGACAGTCAACTCATTACCGACAAAAGCATAATGCTGCCAAAGACGCGAGTCTGGTTCTGGACAGGCACAAAGACAGGGACAGGGACATGGATGTGGATGTGGATGTGGATTGGGATATGGACGGGGACTTGGACAGGGCCACCAGCCATCAACCATCATCCACGGGCCATGAGCCGTGGGGCCACCCCTTTTAATTCTTATTTTTCATTATTGTTTTTGTTGTTTTTTTTTCGGGGGAAGAAGGCAGCCGAGGAAGACCCGCAGAAAAGCCAAACCAAATATGAGCCGGGGTACAAAAACAAAAAAAAAGAAGGAGGAAAGATGGAAAAACTGAAAGCGAAAACATGAAAAATATGTTCTCAAGAAATGGATTTAACAGTTATAGGGAATGAAAGATACCCTGTGATCAGAGATTATATAAATTTATGATTATTTTAAGTTTTTGTTTACTTTCTGTTACAATTTTTGTATTTAAAGATTTTTAAAACTTAAAACAAAGTTGAAATATAGGCATATTTGGATATTATTTATATCTTTCAAACCTTAAAAGTAACATTAAATAATTACCTTTTCTTTAGTTTAGTCATACCTTATTGATAATTGATATACCCACCAAATCTAGGGTAGCAAAAACCAAACAGTTGCCTGCAATGTTGGTCACAGCCTGAATGCATTTCTTTCTTTCAATGTATGCTGCTACTGGTTGTTGTTATTGCTTGTGTATCTGGTGGATACATTTGATGCCGACGGCCAACAACAACAACAATAAGAACAACAATTGTGTTCATTGTGCTTAATTAATTTAGTTCAAAGATCAAGCGACCATATTGCTGAACATCGACAGCAATGCGATTCTTCTCGGGCTTCTCTGCATTTTCATTTTTTTTATTCTCATTTTTATTTTCGATTCTCCGTCTCAGTCTTGTTCTCGTTAGTAAATTTCTCTCTTTAAAGATGCATTTTATATCTTTCTTTTCCCCGGGGCTTTTCCCCCTGGGTTTTTACGACTATAAACTTCGATATTTGCCCAGTCCAGGGCATTCTTCAAATATCGGACACTTGTTTGGAAAACAAGTCATATACTAGAATGAATCTAGAACCTGGAATCTAGTAACTAGATGAATCTTGAATAAAAAGGTTTTGTTAGGGTTACAGTAAGGGCTAGTTAAGGTGTTACAACTTACCTTATAATATTTATTATAAAGTTTTAGCAACTTTACTCCAAAAATCTCTTAAAAAGTTCAACTTTCTTAGGTAATATCACTGTTTAGGATACTAAACCCTCTTCCAAACTCCTTAAATCTAGCTTAAGCATTATCTACCTATTAATATATAGTCTTACATTATCATTCTCATTGATAACCCCTCAACAAACAAGGCTTGGTTCATGTCCAAAGTACAGTCCTCATTTCCATATCCCAATCGCCTGCAATAAAGTGTTGAGCAAAACTATATCGTAATCGGTTTATGCAATATATATATATACTTAAGCAGTATTTAGCATTCATCATGGTTAGGGGATCCCACACCCCATCCCCCCCAACCCTAAAAACAAACTCCTCCAACTCTTGATGTCCCCTCCTCTACGAAACGTATTCGATATGCTTAATTAGGCAACGGGCGTTGAGTATAAAAAGCGTCTTTTGTCGCTGCCACGCCCCATCCCCACCCCCCAACCCTTACACACACACACACACATACACAGAGACAGAGCCACACATGTTGCCCATGTTCCATTACACACATGTGGTTCAGTTTCAATTCAGTTTGGTTCGGTTCTGTTCTGGGCTTTTGCCTCCCCATCGCTGATCTCTGGCCAACACTAGTCAACATGGAAATAGTTAAAGGGATTGTTATGTTGTTAGGTTAGGCTATATGAATGGGTTATGCCTAGTTATATAACTAATATGAGATTATTGCGATCTTGATTTTTATAACTACAGCGTAGAATGTTAGTTAGTTATTGATTAAAATATTATTTTAAAAATCAATAGGAGTTAATATTGTTTAAATTATACAGAAAGATAAGATATTCTTTATTTTTATATAATTTTTGTAATATTTTAGTCTACAACAAGCTGTTTTTCACCTGTGCTAAGATCTATCCCAGTTTACTTACCCAAAAAAGTTCCAAATGCGTTCCCTTATAATTCCCAACTTGTTTTTTATAAATACAAACGAGTAGTTCGTAGTTCAGCACAATCGATAGTGGTTGCTCTACATCGTTTTCCCACTCTTTGCTGACTAGTGTGATAGTGTTGCTCGCGTTCCCTGGGTGACCGGAGGTCGTCATCGCCATAGCCACCGACTCTTGCCATCGACGTTGACTGAGACTGAGACAGCGACTGCGACGGCGGACCGCCGCCGCCGCCGCCACCCAAGAAAATTCTCGGCGGCATCTTGAGTTCAATTTCAGTTGATATTCTGTTAAATTCGCGAACGCGTCGCGCCTGCAGCTCTCGATCCTATGGCCATGACAAGCCCTATTTCGTAATATTCCCAAAAAGAACCATGAAAACTCTCCAAAAAACCTTATCAGTGCTTCAGAAATTTAGTGTTTTGTTTTGTTTTGTTTTTTGATGCTGGTTTGAGAGTTTTCGGGTATTCAAATGTTAAAGAATAGGATGATCCGTCCTATGTTTAGCATATAGAATTTCCAAACGGAAGAGTGAGAGAAAGTGAGATAAGCGCTGGAAGTGAGATAACTGGCGGGGAGAAATCAATTGAGACCAAACCCTGTTTCTGTTTTTTTTTATATATTTTTTTTTTGTTTGATCTTATATTATGGGTGTGTGTGGTGTGTTGTTGTTCTTCATTTTTGTATTACAAAAACAACATTGTAAACATTCATCATCATTCATTCATTTGTCGCTAACCGCAAATGGCTGTGGATGAATCATCGTTATAGGCAAATCCGTTGATAATTTACAATCGCAAATGGTTTTCAAGTTGCATTTCTGATTCGGACTTTATGGCTGTTGCCTTGGATTGCGTTTTGGTTTTTATTGCAAGACGCAGTTGGGGTCATAGAAGGTCTTACAGAAATGCCCAAAAGTATGCAAGAAGCTGTTAGAGGCACCTGAATTTCGGCTTTCTTTGAGCTGATCTGTTAGCTCAAAAAAACAAATTTTTAAGCTAAACATTAAACTTATCTTTGATTTTTATATGAGAAGTCTTAACTAGTGGTGGTTGTGAAATAAAAAAAGTTGTTAATTTGGGTTAATTATTGTGACCCTTTCAATTTTCAAAAGTGAATGGAAAATTTGATGTTCAGTTTTTTAAATGAAAGAAAAAAAGTTCTTAATAAAGTTTAAATTGAAAATGTGAATACTTTTTAAGAAGAAGTGGTGAAACTACAAGTTTGAGACTCCGAAATTTTACTACTGGATCTTATATATAAGTCCATAATTTGACCTACTGAAAATGATATTTAATATGTGTTTAAAATGTTTAAAAAAAGTGGATAAACTATGGCTCAGAAAGTGTGTTAAATATATTTATTATTTTATAACAAAATTAGAGCTTAGTGACAGTGATCTGTAGATAAAAGTTAGCTTTACAAAGAGAAATTTGTTTAAAATTTAATCAAGGTGACTTAAAGTTTAATGAAAAATATTTTTATCTTAGTAAGCCTTGCCAACAAAAAAAAAACAAGGAAAAGTAGTGCATAGTATCCTTAAAATATTTCTAAATATAAAAATTTCACATCCAAGCTGGCTAGAATTTACAAACCATCAAAGTGCAAAGCCTAAATTTATTTCTCAGAAATCAGTAGAGCGAGCAGCCAAAAAATAGTTTAGGTAACATTTTTTATCAAAAACAAGAGGAAACGATTTAAAAAATCTTTGTCAAATCGATAGATATTAGAAGAAATTAGTTATACAAGGTCAAAAGAAGGCATTTTAGACGCTACAGTTCTTCGCGGTTTATGGGAGTAAGAGTGGGCGTGGCTGGAGGAAAACTCGTGACAAGTTGAGTGGCATCTCTTTAATACGTGTTTTTAAGCCTAATTTTCTAGCTCTATACGTCCCGAGATTTTTACATTTTTGGTTTTCCAGGTTTTGTGGGCGTTAGGGTGGGCGTGGCTAGATGGGAAAAAAAAATAAATTTGCATTTGGGGCATCATAAAAACCTACATGCATAATCCCAACATTCTGTCTCTTATAGTTACTGAGATATCAGCTTTTCTAGAAAATGCGAAAAAATGCGTCTTTTGAGCTTGGGGGCGTACGGGTGGGTGTGACCGAATAATAGTACCAGGATGCTGTAATAAACTTGCGCTGCGTAGGGACCTCAAGAATCTTCATGGTTAATCTCAACTTTGTATCTCTTATAGTTCCTGAGTTCTCAGCTTTCATACGGACAGACGGACATGGCTCATTCGTCTTCGCTATTCGTCCTGATAAAGAATATATATACTTTATAGGGTCGGAAACGACAGTCGATCCACTGTTTATTTTGTTTTCGAAATCATCAATGAATGTTACACCTAAAACCAGCAAAAGTTGGGAATTATTAGCTGCTTTGGGGTTAATTTGTTATTTTGAAGGGGAATTTCTCTATAAATATTATGATTTATGGTTCTATGAGAACGCCTCTTCAGAAAAGTAGACCAAATAGCTTTCTAAATAGTATTTACACGGAATTTTATTTGACAAATATTTCGAAATAAAATTCCCATAAGGGTTTTACCCATGGGACTCGAAGTTCCTATAAATTCTGTTCAACTTCAAGGGCTAACCACAAGGGAATTCCCAGTACAAATATTTTGAATTGATTTTACAAAATTATAAACAAATATATTACGTAATGCCTGCAAATAAACCAGTGGCATGCCACAAATTAGGTCAACCAATGAGTAACAACAGAAAACTGCGGTAAAATCATGAAGTTATTTAAATAATTTAACACTTTCAGTAAAATTTCCTTCTTAAAAGATGGCAAATCAAGTTCTGAATCACAAATTTCACACAATCAAAACCGGTTAAATCCCAAGCCGATCAAGATTAATGGCCCTAAGATCCTAGACCAAACAATGATTAATAACAAAATCTTCTTCATTGCCTTAATTTTAGGAAAAAAAAGTGTTTTTGTAGCATTTTCCAATTTATAGACAAGACATTAGGCTTCTCTTTCGTTTCAAAAATTTAAATTACAATTTTATTTAAATGACTTTGGCCTGAAAGTGTTGCTTCTTTAACAAAAAAAGTAAAACATGTTTTGGACACCTCAAAACCCAACCGGTTTCCCTTTTTCCATGCCCCCAAGGCGATTATGATTAATGGCCACGATCCTAGATCAAAGAACGAGACGAGACGACGAAGAAGCCTCCTGAAAAAAAAAGATTTTAAGATCTACCTTAGAGATATGGGAATATATATGAACATGATTTGCCCACTTACGCGGATCAAGAGATTAATGTACGGCCCCTCGTTTCTTCTTGGCACCTTAACTCCATTAGGGTCACTCTCGCCTTCCGTTTTGGGGTATCTACTGGGGTGACACTGAAAAAAATTGCATCTAGATGAATATAGTTACAAATTTTGGTAGAAGAGTAAAGTAACAACTGACAAAAAGTGTATTTGATAATATTTTACTGATGAAAATTTTAAGGTTTTTCATACTAAAACCTTTTCTGAATTTAACACTTTAAAAATTCAAAAAAAAGAATTTTTTCACATTTTTCGAAGAGTTTAAAACTCATCTTTCCTTTAACTATATGACTAACTTAGAAACTTAAATTGCCTTGGTTTTTTCATTGAAATTTAAGGAATACCTAAAGAAGATCTTTATATTTTCTCTCAGTGCATTCTATGCACATTCCATATTCCACATTCCATTTACCTGGCGGCACCTGTGAGGCGTAGGTGAGGAAGTCGACGATCGTTACACAATTCTCGGCTGGCCAACCTGTTTCTCAGGGGTTTTCTCGCTTCTTGCTTCTCGCCGCCTCTCTTTTTGGCTCTGTCAGGGCCACATCAGATTGGTATCGAGGGACAACGGCTAGAAGCGGGGTATTGGGGTTAAGAGAGAGAGCCAGGTAACACGCCCCTTTTCGACTGACATGGTTTGGTGGATCGGTTAGTGACTCATCCCAGTTTTTCCATAAAAATTAAGGCCCAAAAAAACCTAAAAGACAGAAAAAAAGAAACAACAACAGAGTCAGGGAGAGCAAACATTGTAGAATTCAAGCAATTCTTGCAGAAGAAATGCATAAGGGGGATCGTTTTGTTAAATTTAAAACTATTGAAATGTATTCTTAGACTTTTAATGATGGGTTATAAATTATTTTGGCTGAAAATAGGCAAACAGAAATGATACAATTTTGATTATAAATGATCCTTAAACTGTTTCTAATTATTGATTTACTTATTGATTTTTCGGAGATTGTCATTCCTTATACTACCTCTCAACGGATGTATATCTAAGATTCAGTTTTCGTCTAATAAGGTATTCCCAATATTTATAATAGATCGGATTCACCAAAAGCTAAGATCAAGGCATTATAACTGATTTGCTTTATCAAACTATCTTTTTTGAACAAATTTAAAAGATTTCCTCCATTTTTGAGCTCCAAACCCGATCACTTTGGTCGCCCTAGGGTTAAGCTCCAAGGCGTATGATATATGAAGTCGACGTCTTGAGGCCGGCCAATTGAGCACAGAGTGCAGCGACTTTGACTGAGATAATGAACATCGGCGCTTGCAGTCGGAAGCGAGAGAGCAAGACAGAAACATTGGCTATTGAGATAGAAAGACAGATAGAGGGTAGTTGCCTTCACTTAAGTCTCAACTTTAAACAGTTCAAACACAACGACTTGCCTCGCTTGCTACACTGAAAGAAAAAGGTTGCTTTGTTTATGGAAAGAAAGTGATCAGTCATCAGGGGTTTGATGTTTGCTGGGGATGGAAAAATATGTCAAGATATAATCAATACTTTTTAATTTAAGAGGTTCTTTTGTACTTTCTTTTGGTTTTAAAGATAATTTGATAACTTTCTTAGGAGTTGAGAATTATAAGGGCTTAATTATTAGAAATCTTTTCAATTTCATCAATGATCATTAACTATATTTTATCAGTAAAACTTCTTAAGAGCATAAAGATGAACTAGCATAGTAAACAATGAACATACCCAACCATTTTTTGCCGTGTATGTAGTTGACTTGCAGCCAGTGCTCACTCACTATCTCTCCGGGTCTCTCGTTTAGCCATTATTTTCTCACTTAATATTGAATTATGACATGACGCAGCGGCGATAAGAGAAAGTAGGGAGACACCAAAGAAAGAAAGAAGAAAAGAAAAGGAAAAAGGAGAGCAAGAGATGCCGCAGCAGCCGATGAAGGACATCAACGATAACGTTGCCATGGAATCGCATATTTACGAGAATTTGCCGGGTCTGGGCGTGACCTCCTCCCCCAAAGGTCATCTTAATCCGGATTTGCGAAAGTATTTTCCACGCGAAACGATCTATGAGAATTTGTGTCGCGGCTGCGGTTATGGGGTATTTGCCGCCCAAGGACCTTACTGTCATTTCTGTCAGTGTATTGTGAGTGGAGGCGTGGTTAGTCCACCTCCGCCTACTTCTTCACAACCACCCCTTTCGCCCATTCCCGCCGAGAGTTCGAACATCTATGAGAATATCTGCGATTTGTGCCGTGGAATTTACAGTGACAACGAACGGTGTCAGTGTCAGAGGTCAGTGACGCCAACTATTACTAGCACACCACCCACACCGCCCACCAAGGTCAAGTCGCGCTCGCTCTTGAACTATTCCAAGTCAAGTGCCGCGACCTTGACCCGTCTCTTTGGCTCTCTTAAGCAACTCAATCGCTCTTCATCGCTGCAGCGCAGGATATTCCCAAGAACGCCGACAAATGGCAGTGGCTCTCTCGAGATCATTCATAACGTCGACGAGGTCTTTCGCACCCAGGAGACCTTTGACCTCCAACGCATTTGCGAACTCAAGCTGGAGCAGCAGCAGCAACTTAAGAGTAGCCAAAGCGATCAGCATATCTATGGGCGAGTTAGAGAACCAGAAGAGAGTCAGAAAAGAGATCGCAAGAAGCCGCGTGTATCGCGCATTCGAATGCTGCAGGACGAAAGAGCGGCAGAAGAGGCAGCAGCATCAACATTGGCTTCATCATCGTCAGCAGCATCCTTGTATCTCAACGAGAGCATCTGCCAGTGGATGACGTCACTGAGGCGGCAAGTTCATCACTACGATGAAGGGGCATGGCAGCAGCCGAAAAGCGTGCCAGCACGAGATCATTTGTCCTCTGAAGAGATCACAGTCACACTACGAAGGACCAAAGAAGAGAGACCACCTGTTGACGAACAGAACATGGTCAAGGACTTTAAGAGAAAGCTGCAATTAAAGAGAGAGCCCAGCGAACCGGAAAAAGAACAAAAACGTTGTGCCATTACCGCTGAAATTGTGAATGATTATCTAAGTGCTCTTACCGAAGAGAAACCACAAATGCAACAAGTAGCGTTGATTCGAGAGCCAACAATTGAAGTAACTCTCCAGCCACAAATCTCTCTCTTTTGTTTAATGCAAAGCCTTGCTCTTTCGGCCAGTTTGCACGTGTGTGTGCGTGGCTTTTTCACTACCTATGACAAATCGCTTAAGTTGTTGTTGTGGCAGCAAAAGCAACGACAACAACCGATCAACGGTTATCGCCGACTGAGAGGAGCGCGTGACTCAGTTAACGAATGGCGATTGCTTCTCTTCTTCGGCAGCGATCGTTGTTCGGACTCAGTTTCGCCAGCGCGTTCAAAGAGTCGAGCGATTTCGAAGAGTGAGGACGTGTGTGCTGCTGCCGCTGCGCGACGTCGCGCATTCCGAAGTACGAAACGAAGCGTTAAGCGCGGCGACGAGATTGTGGGTGTGGGTGAGGGAGTAACAGAAGGCTGGAGCGGGGGCGAAAGCCTTCTCATTATCACCAAAACCAGCGAAAATATTAATAATAATAATAAGAACAACAGCGGCAGTAATAGAGCTTTGATGGCGGCGCCAAAGCCACACGATGAGGCAGAGCGCCCCGTAACAAACAACAACAACAACAGCAGCAGCAACAACAACAATTGCAGCAGCAGTAACAGCAGCAACAACAATAACAACAACGACAACAATCACATCAATCACATTTGTGACAATGAAAGCGGCAACAACAATAACAACAACAACAACAGCGCAGGCAATTGCAATGTCAGCGAGCAACAACAACAACAACAACAGCAAAACACACAGGTCAACACTCATTAAAAAAAAAAATTAAAAAAATCAAAAGCAAAATAAAAATGCACAGAGAGAAAATATATTACTTACTTACACCACAAACATAAAGGCCTTATCAGCAAAAGCCTTAAAAACATGACTCAAAATTAAATAAATTGCAAAAAAAAAGTTAAAAAGAAAGAAAACAACTTTTAAAAAACCAACAAAACAAGAAATTGATTAAAAAGCAATTAATAAAGTGATAAAAATGTACAAAATGTGATCCGGCAAAATGATTATTAATACAGTCAAACGTCAGTTATGAAGAACAAAATACAAGTTTTTGCATTATAAATTTAAAAATAATTTGAGTTATAAATAACTATAAATGTGAAAATTTTATATATAAAAAACCATTCAAAATTATAAAAAAAAAATTATATTTAAAAACATAACTAAATAATGACAACCTAAAAGCCTTGCCGGCACTAAATCGATGACATTAGAACAAGAAATGTGAATTAAAAAATAGATAAAGATAACTTTTCTTATCCAAAATCTTAAAAGATTTTATTAATGATTTAAAAATGAAATTTCAAGTGTTAAAATTTTAAAACCACTTCCTTTTTCTCTCTGTGCACTTTTTGTAGTTGCTTTTTACTGCAGTTCAAAATTGACTAACGGTTTGCGTGCGAAAGGGATGCCCATGTTCGATTGGCTATAGCAAAAAATAAGCAAAAAACAAAAACAAAAAAAAAACGTAAACGAAAAACCAAACAAACTTATCTAATTAAAAACAACCATTAAAATATTGAAAAAAAAAGAATGTGGAGGAAAACAAACAAGTTTGCAATGAAAACAAAAGATAACTATAAAATAATCAGCGTTTAATTAACGTTCTTTTTTTCGCATATTATTTTTTTTTGCCTGATTACAAAAAGTGTTGCCATATTTGCAGAAATAACACAAAAAGGAAGGTGAAATTGCCAGCATAACGGCTATGAAAAAGTTAAATATGTGCTTGTGATTACCCAGTATAAAGGTTTTTTCTTTTTTGAAACTGATTAATTCATTGCTTTTTATGGGCGGCATATAAATGATAATTTCCATAAAAAAAACAGCCAGTAAGGGGAATCCCATTCCCCATAATTGCTTTAGTTATTCTACTTAATTAACTAATTAACTGGCTTAAAGGGCCAACAAGTTTTTTTCAGTTTGAATTCTTTTTTTTTAATGTGTAAAAAAGTCACTTTAAGTTCTGAGTTTTTAAGGGAACTAAAATATTAAAATAAATGCCAAAAATTCTGGAAAATCTCAAAGAAATTCCAGGCACATCCCATCGCTCCTTAAGTCAATTCCAAAACCCAGTGAAAGTCAACAACAAAATCTGGATTTTTAATCCCAAAAACCAACTTAAAAACAACGTTTACCTGAATTTTTAGAACTGCGTGATCAAGGTTCGTCGTCCGGCGCCCAAAGTTCCCGTACGTAATCCCAATACTTCCTTGAGTAATCCCCGCCAGACAGACGCAACACCAGCCAAGGTGAACGGTCAGGAAAAGGATGAAGTCATTGTCAAATCGCTTGTAGACGAGAATCCAGAAGAGGAAGAGGAGGAGGAGGAAGAATCCATTTACCAACCCATTTGGCAGTATAAAACCATGGAACCCGCCGATCAGGAGATAATCCAAGCCCAAGATGACGATGAGGAGGAGGAGGAGGATGAAGACGATGACGAAGAGGAGGATCTGGGGGACTACGATGAATCCCTGCCATCTGATACAGATGTGATGGCTCTCAAGGCTGCGGCGGACTTTGCCGCTGGAGTTCGTCACAAAGTGTCAACCTCAACGTTGACCAAGCGTTCCAAACTGATGATACCAACGCCCCTGCCTTCACCTACTGCCTCCATGGATCAAGGGGCATGGGAGACGGACATGGAGTTCATGTATTCGCGGGAGAACAAGGAAGAGGAGGCGGAAGCTGAAACGATCAGTTTGGGTAGCACAGTGACCAATAGCACAGCTACCTTGGGTTCGATTAGCAGCACTGGCAGTAGTGCTAGGCTACCAGCATCCTCAAAGAATCCAGCAGTGGATCAACAGCCAACAGTGGTGGCCACCGAGATTGTCCCCCTAGTGCATCCGATCCTCAGGAATATATGCATTTTCTACAGCTTAAACGATCCCAAAAAGTATAGCGCTATATTCTATGACTACCATCGGTCGTTGGTCCACCAGCGCTTCATGACCCGCATTCGTCGACCGGCGCCACCACCTCCAGTTCAGGTCACCCAACCGCCGCAGCGTAACGATGACAGCGGTTGTAGTTGTGAGGCGGAAGATCAGGATGAAACCCGATCATTGGCTATACCTCAACCACTGAAAGAGGAATGGGAAAGAGCTGTCCTAGCTGCAGGGGCTGTGGCGGGCAAGCGAGGCGTGGCATCACGAGCGGGACGTAAGCTGAGAGTCCGTTCCAATGCGAGGCTGCTGAATACGGATTCGGTGCTGGCTTGGAGGGAAACGCTGCAGGATGTCTATGCTTGCGAGGACGAAGAGGATATGGTGAGTGGGAAAGCCCTACTAGAAAGTTTGATAAATATTTTTTAGTTTGAATTTAAAATATTAAATATTAAATTATTAAGATTAATACTTAATTTTAATCAAATTTATCTTCATCTCAGTAGCAAAATGAAAAATAATCTAAAAATAGTTGGGAAGTCATTTCGTATCTCGAAAGTCGTGACTTAACTTTTATAAACTTGATTAAATTAAAACCAAAGATGGAATGCTCAAAGCAGAGAGAGAAATCTGTAGCTTAAAATGGCTTAATAAGGTTGTTTTTCCCTACTATAGTTCATAGATATTTCTCTGAGTGTACTCTTGTCACTTGCAATTTGCCATGTATGTACATTCTCTATTTTTCCTTCGTATTGCCATTGTTTCCCCACTTGTCACTTGTCACATCAATTAAACTCCGCAAATGTATCTGTATCTGTATCTGAGTATCTTTGTAACCGTAACCCCTTCACAATGGTTCATGGTATTGTTTTAGCTGATCTACGAGCTACGAGTATGCGAGAAACCCTTCTCCCAGAGGTTTTCGAAAAAGTTACCCAACCTTCCGCTGAGAGGGGGAATTGTGTGCCAAAAGTTTTGCAAAAATGCCCTAACTGGGTAGGGAGATTGAGACTTTGGGTAGGTCTTTGAAATATATAGGGTATAAGTTAGGCAGTAGGACTGTTATGGTGCTTTACTTTAGGTGGAGCCATAAAATGTTAAGGGTATAAGTTATGCAATCTGGATGTTAAGGCTTCTTAACTTTAGGTTGATCTTTAAAATATAGAATGTATATGTTATTAAAGGTGACTGTTAAACTTCTCAACTTTAGATAGATCTCTAAAACCTACAGGGTATGTGTTACACCATGTAACTGACTCTCAACATTGTGAAGATTTACAGAATATTTAGGATATTTGTTATTACAAAATGGCTGTTAAGCCTCTTAACTTAAGTTAGATGTATAAAATATTTATAGTTAGGTTATACAATGTGACTGTTATATGTATTTATATAAATTATATAGGGTATATGTTAAGCCTCTCAATTATAGGTATCTATCTATAAAATCTATACCCATCTCTTATACAATCTTATTTAATTAGCATGCCTTGCTCTAACTTAGCTAACTTACTGATATGAATTCTAATAACCTTATAGACTACATAATAGGTATAAATATTTATACAAAAAAAGTAACAGGAGCATCTATCAGTTTGTCAAAGGCAATTTGTTATTTGCGTTACAATTTTGGTTTTCCCCCTGGGAAAATGTAACTCTTAGTTTGCCTTACTTGGCTTTTGATTGCAATTTGTTTATAACGCATATGGCAGGAATGTTTGTATCTATCTATGTACATATAGTATAGTAGTTTAGTATGTGCAAATTTACAAACATATGTCTGTACATATGTATATATATATAGATATATGTATATAGATATAGATACGTACGTGTGCTGCTTTCTGCATAATGTATTTTTTATTTATTTGCCTCTCACGTTTGTTGTTTTCTGTTTGCTGCATTTGCCGCTGCATGTGAAATTCCATAGAAATTCACAGGGCGAGGGAGAGTTCAACCTCCCCCGAAACCTCTTTCCCCGCCTCCCATTTCGTTCCCTTCTGATACAACACCGCCCCTGAAATTCGTGAGCCCCAACATGTTGATTCACATTTCGCGAACGACAATTATTTATTTATTTTGTTTTATTTATTTTCCTCTTTTTTTTATTGCTTTGCATATATTCTGCGAGTGAGTGTGTGTGTGTGTGTATGTGTTTGCATCTAAAGTTAATTTTTTGATTTTTGTTATAAACTTTGGACAAACCGGTTTTCAGCTTGAGGAGAGTCTTGTCTTGGTGTCTTTAATACCCTGAGATAGAGGGTATCATAAGTTAGTAGAGCTTTTAAACTCATTTTAAAGTTGTAAAACTTTTCTTTAATATTATAAAAATATCAAGAAATGAAGTAAATGAACTCTCATGCTTAGCATTCATTCCTATTCATTCATGATGCCTATACATTTTTGTAGAATTTATGGGGAACTTATTAAGTCGGTTTCGTTTGCTCTTTTTCTTGTGTGTAATTTCCTGCCTTGGAGCTTCGCTCAACGCATTTATCAGCATTTAATTGGTTAATCATTAGTCAAATATTTTTGTAACTCTTCGTCGTTCTGTTACCGCCTCTGTATTATTTTTTTTTTTGTATTTTCTTTCTTCTCAGAAGCTGAAAACCTTTGACTAAGTCGCCAAAATTTTATCGCTTGGATTGTAAAAAATCATAACGGAACTTGAGTGTTCCATAAATAAGTCCCGACTTGGTGATATGTTTACTTCAACTTTTCGAAGATTACGTTTTTGCATTTTTTTTTATGATATTTTTGATTCGAAGAATCATGGAAGTCTCCCAAGAGAGTTTGGTTATTTTTAGGAAAATAAAATGAAGATTTTTTAAGTGGCCTTAGAAGTTGTTTCGAATTCAAGTGGCCAATCGAATTTATTTAGTTTGTCAACACTTTGAAGATATAGCCAGGCCTGACTTGGAGGGGAAACACGATCTCAATGGGTTTTTGACATGAACCGAAAAGCCAAGATTCCAATAAGTGGTGATTTTTTGCCCACGCAATCGAAAAAATGTATCAAAGTTGTAGTGGTTAAAGGAGGGTCTTCAAGGCAGCTCCTCTTCTCGAAAAAAGAGGGGAAAAAATAACAATAATAAAACCACAAAAAGGTCAACTTGCTTTGAGCCGCCTTTGTTTGGCTTTCGGATCATTTGTTTATTTTCCGCGGTACGTTTCGGGTTTTTTTTTCTTTTCTTGTTTTTGTCTTTTATTTTTGTTTTTGTTAGTGAATCATGTGGCGAATGGGGCGATACGCATATGTATTTAGATATATGGTAACACAGATACTGTATCTGCGGGCGCGCGAATAAAGCAAAAGCCAAAGCAAAAGCAAAAGCACAAAAAAAAAGCAAAGCAAACATATGTACTAAATAGTACTATACACCGAGGTCATATCAATTAAATTGGCTTACCTTATTGTTACTATTTGGGCGCACATAAATAATTTCCATTCTCGTTGTTGGATAAAAAGAAACCAAAAACCGAAAACTACGCAATATTTGCACTTTTGTTTATTTCAAAATACTAAAACTGACAAATGGTAAAGCCAGAAAAACTGAAAACTGAAAACCGAAAACAGAAAGCAAATTAGCCAAAACAAATTGGCTCTAATCAGTTCGAATGGCCAGAATTATCAAGTGCTAATTGCTGCTGTAGAACTGCAAAACTGAAAGCTAAAAACTGAACACTAAAATTGTATAAAGTTCGATATTCATCGCCTGCCGATCGATTTTCGCATTTATTCGGCTCGCTAGGCTTTTCACTTTTTTTTTTGTTGTTTATTTAACTTGGCCTTTGTGTTGATGTTATAAACCAAACGAGCCCGCATTTTCAACTATAATCAAGGGATTCGGGGGAAATTAAAGGCGTGTAAAGAACACTTTTAATTGGGCGAAATCAATGTGGGAATTCATTTGAATACTTTTCGGCAAGGGATTGGATTGAAGTACAATGAGAATTTTGATGTTTATGATCTAGTTTTAGATATAAAATATTAGATAGATGATTTCTAATCTTAAATCTACTCTGAAACTAGTAGTTAAGTTTTATTTAGTATGCCAAAGAGTTTTGATGCTTTTCAGCAGTGAATTGGGGTCACCAAATGCCTAAAATTTAATACTTTAAGATATATTAGATATTAAATATTTGATCAATGATTTCAGTTCTAAAATCCAATCTAACATCTTACTTTTAGCGTTACACTAGAGTAAAAATCAGTTTATATACTTTTTGGCCATGGATTGGGGTCACCAAATTTAAACATTTTAGACTTTATAATATAATTTTAGATACAATCATACAAGATCTTTTCTGTTTCTCTTAGTTAAGCGTCTTCTAAGATACCAATGTTTTTAAAAAGCTTTTTGCTTCAGGATTGGGGTCACCAAACTTTAAAATTTTGTATTTTATGATATCATGTTCGATCCAATCGATGATTTTTGTTGCTAATGGATTGGTCTCACTAAGCACCCATAATTTATCACCTTATGATATCATATTACTAGCTGAGATCCACAGTTTCTATTTTAAATTCCACTCTAACTTTACTTATATATTTTTAAAACGAAGTTAACATTTGAATGTTAACCTAAAAGGTACTAACTTTTTGTTTTATTCTGGGAATAGCGAAAAGCTTAACATTTGCCAAGGGACTATTGTTGCTGGATTTTGTGTAGTTGGCGAGGAAGGTAAACAAATGTGGCAGCAGATGGAATACCGGGGAACTCTAGGTGCCAGCTGGGGTTTGTGAGGATTTTCAAACGCAGGGCGACTAGAGAAACTAGGGGAAACTTTTGGTTGACTGTGAATGAACAGTGAAGACTCCCAAAAGGAAACACTAAAAGTAATGGGATTAGGAGAACTTACAAATAAGCTGTTGTATTTTTTTTTAAGTTTTTTAGGAAGTTAAACATATATTTTTAATAAGAAGTAAAAGGGTTTTTAAGAGGTTTTCTTTAGGTAGATTAACACAAAAGTTGGAAATAACATAAGTTAGTTTCGAATATTTTATATTTTTTACTTTCGAAAAGGCAATGCAAAGTTGTTAATGGTTCATTTTAAGGGTAATATTTGTGATCAAATTAGGTATCAAATATTATTTAAGCTTTAATGTAAAGCTAACATTATGTCTTAAGAATACTATATTATTTCTAAATTTGGACAGGAATCATAACTTAGTTCCTAAGCTAGCTTTTTATTAATGGTATTTTTGAAGTCAAGACTTTTTTCCCCAAGATTACTTAAACTTAGGAAAGTTTTTCCCTGACTTAACATACATAAATATCCATACATACATACCTTTATTCATACATATGTTTACATAGCTCATAAGGTATAGAATAACTCCCTCGTACCGATCGAAAACTTCTATACGTCGCCGATAATCTGAGGATTTTGTTTATGCTGTCGCAAGCAGAGTTGTTTGGGTAGCCCAAAAGTATAGGATAGCGGAGAGAGGATGGGGTGACATCTGGCTGTCGGGGTAGTGGGCGGACAGTGGGTGGTGGGCGTGTCGAAAGCGATAAATGCAACGGCAGCGACACCTTGGACCGGCACTGTTCGATTAACCGTTATCTTGGACGCTTGCATTTATTTTCCGTACCGTTGCGCGATTTCTTACAAATCGAAATCAATTTCTTATCAGAATTTTGTTGCTGTTTTTGTTATTTTTGTTTTCCTCTATCTGTTTCGTTGTTTGTATTTCGTTCCGCTTTGCGTTCGTTCGTCTTGACTGTCCGTAGAAGTGAAAGAGATAGCGTGTTTGGAAATAAATAGTGGGTGTGAGTGAGTGGGAGTTAAAAGTGGGAGTGTAAGTGAGAGAGAAAGAGAGAGAGAAGGATAGCCTGGCGATAAGACATGGCAAGCAGATTCAATCCCAAACGAAGGCAAACAACGGTGAGCGATGGGTGGAACCGAAAACCAAAAAAGAAACCCACTAAAAAATAAAGAACTTACCCTGAAGTAATAGCTCTTACGCTATGAACAGGAAAATAACACAGATTACAGGGGATTACATCGACTATTGTATACCCTGTATTGTTAAGTTCTTAGAGTGGTATTAGGAAATAGATAATAATGTTATCTTAAAGCGTATTATTTTGGGTTTTAGGGTGGTCAATCTATATCATAGTCATGGTGTTGGTAGTATATGTAATTATAAGTCAAATTTTATAATCTGAAGATCCTTAAAATCAGTTTTTTCTTAGGTGAACACAAGAGTTTCTATGTGGTTTTTGTTTTATAAGTATAGAGATCCTTAGCTATCAGTTACGCTAGGACTACGACTATCATTTACGCCTTATTATTGGGTTTCTTAAAGTGTTATCAAGTTATATAGCAGATATAATGTCTTATATTATATTATTTTAGGGGTTTCGGTTTGATACCTTATAAAGATATGAATTGCTAACTGTTATCGACCTTTTTTTGGGGTTTTGATGTGTTTTACTCATAATATTAGTTAAAAAATTGCTATTTAGCCCATTTTATGTATAAATATTATAAGTCTTATACCATTTTTATCATATTATTACTAATCTTAAGTTAAGTTAAACTATTTTTATTAATTTATATAGAAAATTGTGATTTTAGAATGATATTTAGAATGATTTTTATCAGGTATCTACATTTTATAAACATAATTACAGTGAAAAGTTTAGTCTAAGAATAAGTTAATGACTAAAGTTAGTTCACTTAAGATTTTCACTTAAGCAAGAAGATAAAGAATAATACCTACAGTACCACTAAACATCATACCCCTCACCCACTCTCAATAATGAGTACTAAAAAAAAAAACAAAAAAAGAGGAGAAAAAACTACAAGAAAATATACATCGACAACGGCACGAAAAGCTGCAATTAATTTGCAGACGTTAGTTGGATTGTCGGATTGTGTATCTGTATCTGTATCTGTATCTGTATCTGTATCTCAATTGTACGCTACTGCTCCCAGAGTTTCTGGTCTAGATTCCCATCATCTGCTCACCCTTCCCATCTGACTAACTTCTTCTTCATCTCAACTTAACTACGAACTTGAATATTTATGCACTGCGTGACTGTGACTCCAAAACTGAATCTGAATCTAAATCTGACTGTAACTCTTTGGTTTATCCCATAGATTGTGCCAGTGACTGACATTCTGCGGGCGCAGCAAATCCAGGAGGACAATGAGGTCCAGCAAACGCAGCAGACGACGATCCTTCAGCGCTTCAAGAGCGTCTCCATAGGCAACCTGCTTGATCTGCCCGGCGAGGATGACAAGAAGTCTATCAAGAATCGCATGCGAATGAAGTGTGAGTAGAACTTACTAGTTACTACTAGTTATATGTTTTTATAGCTAGTTAGAGGAGATATGCTTAGCAAAACGACTTTAGTTTCGAGCTACTTATTAGGTTTTTAAGGCAACTTCTTTGGGAGATTTAACTTGCCACTCAAGTTTCACTGTTAGGAAAATGTGTTTAAGCATTAATTTCCTATAATTCGCCATATCGCTGAGGTATACATTATATATTTATAAACAAATCTAACCATTGTTTGGTTTTGATTCCAAAACATATCATTTTATTGTAAGGAGAAATCAAAACTGATTTCTAAACAAACAATGGCCACCTGCTGTTCTATAGAAAATACTTATTAAGATATATTAATAGCTTAATATTTTGTTAAATAATTACTTTTTCAACTTGTCCAAAATGTGATTAACAAATTGGTAGTTTAGCTAAAGTCCGCTTTAGCCGTATCTATTTAGTCATCGCCTGAAAGTGTCTGCCACTTCTTGTAGCAGCGATGACTTTCTTTGGTGGGTAATTTGCCACTGAACCGGTTGAAAGAGGGGCGCCCGGCTGTCTGCTCAAATAGTTGGTGCTCTTGGAACTCCAATTCCAAGTAGAAGCCACCAACGCGAATGGAATAAACATTTGCCAGGCACTTAAAGAAATTAAGTTCGTTTTCTAAAAGAAAAACCAGGAAAATTGGAAGGGAAAAACTGAGTTTTGTTTCTATTTACTTTAAAATAGAAAATAGAATCTTATAAAATCATAATTCATTATAAATTAATTTAAAAACACTTTAAAACAAGTAATCCTTCAATTTTAAGTTTTATTTATATAGATTTTAATCCCAAAAAAATCGAGAAAGTTTCCTCTGGCAGTCACTTAGTTTTTTCTTTAAGTGCCTTACCACCTTTTAAGGCCCAAGAAGCTCGTCACTCGCTGGCCTTTTAAGGTCGTTGTGGCCCACACAGCGACTGACTGAGCGGACTTCTATCTACGGCCACATGAGTTTCCCAATCGCATTCCCATTCCCATTCCCGATCCCAGTTCTCATTCATCATTGCAAAGACGAATAGTAGAGTCTCTTCGCTCTTCTCTCTATCTGGGATTTTCGTTAATGAAAGCTGGTTTTCACTTTTTTGCCCGGACGCGGGGATTGTGTTTAGAGTCGCTGTTGCTGTTGCTTATTCGGATAATGCAAATGAGTCGGCACAAAAAATGAATCATGATCTCTGTGTAAGGCGAGGAATGTTTGAATAAATAACCGACTGACTGACTCTAAAGCTGAAATTATGATGATACTTTGCATAGAGAAACTCATTGCAGTTGGTTCTCAGTCGGGAGTGGCACATATATCCTGTGATCTCGCCTAGGGAAAGATGTCGAAGAACTCTCTACTCTTCGATACTCGCCTGTCGCAATGTAGCCAAAAATAATATTAAACCATCAAAATTGAGCAATAAATTTTAATAATTTCTTCTTTCATGTTTTCTTTGGATGTGCTTGATGACTAAAATCCTGAAGTCGCTGTCAATAGCAATGTTTTTCGCATGTAAGTAAAGTTAAAAAATAATATTTAAGCCGAGAAAAAACTATTAAAATGTTATAAAAAAAACATAACAAAAATATTGCATTAAAGTTCAACTTTAATAGCTTTTAACTTGGCTTAAAACCCCGAAAATCTTCATAAGGCTGCAACTGATAAATCTCTACTTTTAGCAATCGCTCGCCAAAGATCGAGAAGAAGTCGCGTCAGCGTCGTGGTCAGGTGAATAGCTTGTACCTGGATGAGCAGAAGTATCCACTATTTGCTGCCCCACTCAATGCCCTGGAGCTCAACATGACCGATCATCCGAATGTACCACGTTTTGTGGTTGATGTTTGTGCCTACATTGAGAAGCCCGAGTGCATTGAACAGGACGGACTGTACCGGGCATCGGGTAATAAAGTGTTAGTGGATGAGTTACGCAAGAAGCTGACTGCCCTGTACGATCCCCGTTGGCTGCAAACGGACGATATTCATACGCTAACCAGTCTGCATAAGCAGTTCTTTAGGGAATTGAGTGCTCCGCTTATCACACAGGAAGCCTACGAACGTCTGGGCCGCAGCCTAAACGATGAAGCGGCCATCGAGCGTATGAGCCTGGCCTTTGATGATATGCCAGAGCCAAATCGCTCAACGCTGCGTTTCCTCATCAAGCATTTGACCAGGTTAGTAGATAGATGTTGTTATATTTTATAAGAATAAAACCAGAGAAGAGAGTTCTAAAGAAGTTTAAGTTATAAATTTGATTTGTAATTTGTAAGGAAAGGAAATGAAAAACCCAAAGAGGCATTGAATCACTTTAAAAGTAATGCTGGGTTTCCCCCTCTTTTTTTCTGGTTTTATTCATATATTCATATTTTTTTTTATGAATTTTTTATTCATAATGTTTATTTTTTCAGAGTTGCCGCTGCCAGCGCTTCGAATCGCATGCCCTCCACCAACTTGGCCATCGTCTGGGGTCCCTGCCTCCTCAGTGCCAATCAAATTCAGTTGGATATTGGACGCATGAATATGTTGGCCAAAGTTTTGATCGAAAACTATGATCGCATCTTTCATCCGGATAATGAACGTCTCGTTTGCTAGGATTCCCCGCCGCCAAACCAATCCCGCCCTGCGCTGCCACACGCCCCCAAAAAACTCTATGCATCACAAAATGAAGCAGCGTTAACCCTATATAAGTGCCTCAAACATCAAACATCACCATTGTCTCCTTCCATCATTTTTTCTCACCAATCTTATGTTTAAAATAATATTTTTTTAAAATGTTTTTTTTTGTCAGCTTTAATTGTATGTTTTCCTTTGCTAATTTTAATATTTTTAATATTTTATTTATTCATTGGAAATGGGTTAAACCGCCCATCAAGAAAATACTTACCAAAAAGACAGTAGACTAAGTTTAAACTAAAAAGGAAAATCTAAATAATAATCTATACGACGAACTTTGTGGCGGTACAGTGAGCACTGCCTGCGGTGAAACCAATAACATGACGGAATATTAATATATATTTTTTTTTCTCTCGACATCATACTATGAGATGTGATATTCGCTGCAAATTGCAAAGCGTGAATATAATTTGTATTTATAAAGATTTATCTATATTATTATTAATAAACCATATGAATTATACGAATAAAGTCAAGTACAGTAGATAGGCTAAACGTGAATTTTTTTGTTTAAAAAAAGCTTGGAGTATGAAAGCCAAAAAATTGTATATTTTTTAACTCAATAAATATGAAGGAAATTAAGAAAGTTTTGGTTTGAATTTGAAAAGAAAAAAATGTTAGGGAAAAAGTAAAGTGAGTAACACATTCATTGCCTACTTTTGAGCTGCAAAAAAATATATGGAAGCATATATAAGCTGATGGTTGATGTAGCGTTTAGTTTCAGTTTGAAAATTGTTTTCAGAGATGAAGGTTACCCATCGCCTGGCTGTACTTTGGATTTGCCTGATAACTCTGGTGAGTTTTTTTCTAACAAAATATCTAAAATCTTTCTAATTTTACCAACTATTTCTAGTGGGAGTTATCTACCTGTCATAGTACCAAGGATTGCCTGAAACTCCACAACCTGACCAGTGCCCAAATAGAAGCAGTGAATCCCTCTACACCCGTTTCGATTGTACCCTTGAATATCAAATGCTTTAGCCGATGTGTGATCGATGAGTATTATGGTGATGATGGAAAAATCGATTTGCAAAGAGTGGGAAATCGTGGAACCCAACAAGAACATATTATTTTGTCTCAGTGTAAAGAGAAGTACGATGACGCCAGCGATCTGGGCAGATGCGACTATCCATATCTGATGATTCAGTGTTTGTTAGAGGGCAAAACGAGCGGAACGATCGTGTCGTAATTTTAGCTATAATATATGTATGTATATACACGCCGCAATGGCTAGAAATATATATTTATATATTTTTTGATTTGATTTATTGTGGGAATTGTTAATCAGATTAAGGGCCTTGTGATGACTTACTAGCCAGTACCTACGATTGTTGTTTAGTTTTGGGGGCTACATTTGGAGTATAAAAGCAGGTTAAAGACACTCCATATTAGGGTTTATAATAATCACTTTGATTTGAAAGAAGTTCAGTCATTCATATTTGAAAGTTAGCTAACATAATAACCAGTCATTCTAAACTTTGAAAGCCACATAGCTACAAGGGCAAATAAATTACAGAAAATTTAGCTTTCGATGGCAAATATAAATATGAAATGTTGTTGGTAAGCCAAACATAAAATTTGGCCATGGCAGGCCAACAGATATGGAGAAGATGCAATTTGAACATAATTGAAATGCAAATCGCAGACTAAAGATTGCAGACTGCAGACTGTGTGGGAAGTAATAATGAATCCCAGTTGACCCCAACAGGATGCAGGGGAAAATTTCAATTTTCCCAGCAAATCATACGTAAAGTTTTGGCCCAAAAGGAGAAGGGGCCTGGCCAGCATGGATGTCAATGCAATCAGTGAGGCATTTGACTTGGCCCTTTCATCAACTCAACACAAGGCAACTTCGACTGCAAAGGACATGGACAGAACGACATACAGGATTCAATACTAAGGACTCACGAACTCCTTTGGGCGACACTGCGGCTGCCACAAAAACTTTTTGCTGGCCAATCATCAAGAAAGCCGCCAAGTTACTTGGAAATAAGCTAAAATCGGATAGTACATAGAGAGAGAGAGAGTTGGCCAAATTAGGAATTATTTTGTAACCAGTTAGTTACTAGGAAAAAGGGGGCGTTGCGCAAAGTGCTGAAGTCAGTGGAAAATTTGTGGGCAAAACATGTTGATGACAGGCAAATATGCTGTAATGCAATTATGGGCCAAGTGCTAGTGCTACCAGGATAGCGATTTAATTGACAATGCAAATTGAATCAGCATTTGTAACTGTCTAATCGAATTAGCCCGGAGAAAGCATCTCTGCCTCTCTCACTCTCTCTTTATCTTGGTCATAATTCAATTTCTGATTTACTATTACCAAAAAGTAAGAGGTTATGGTTATGGTTTAGGATTTCAGTTTTTGGGTTTTAGCCATTTTTGGCCGGGCTCAGCAAATAAACTTTGCGTTCTCATTGCGGCAAGTCAACAACTGCAGTTTCCTTTTTGACCACACACTCTCACATACACACATAGACACACAATCCAGCCAGGACCCTTTCGTCCTGCGGTCTTGGCCAGAAACAGGAGCAGGACAGGCCGTTGAGTGGACCTAACCACTGGAACGTGCCTTAACTTATAAAATGTTGCCAACTGCTGGCTGCCAATTGCAGCCAGTCTCTAAATGACTCACATCTCCTTTTGGCCAGGTCAAAAGCGAAGCTGCAATGCTCTTGAGAAAATCACAAGAAGGAGGCTTGTTTAGCTTGAATGCGAAAGATGTTTTAAGGGAATATCTAAGGTCTTTAAAAAGCTGCAGTTTAGTACGTTTATCGAGGATTTACTTTATATTCTACTTAATCTTTGATCTAAGCTAAAATGAAAGTAAAAGTTAGAAATACCAACCCACTATTTTAGCCAGATCTTTAAGAGGTTGGCCTATTTTTTCGCATTTCTTAAACATATTCCATTAAAAAAAATCAAATTAAGAGATTATTTAAACTTATTTCCAAGCAACTTAAGTTAAATATTATATAAAGTACCTACTACTAAAAGAGCATTTCCTAACCGAAAGCACAACTTATCTCGTTTAGACCAAAAGTGGTTGGCCTTTTCGGCAGCATTCCCTTTCCCCCATCCTAACATCCCCTATAGAGCCACTTGAATGCGGCCCGCCACCTGTTGGCGAATTAGGGCGCAACACTCAAAAGGAGTTGCCTGCCTGAATTCATACCCTAGTCCTAGCCTCATCTCCCCCTTCCATTCTCGTTGTCCTCTGGACAATCCCGACATTAAGACGCTGGCAATGTGTAATAACTGGCAGCTTGAGATGAAGGACAAGAGCGAGCCATGCGACTTAGATGGGCGGAAGAGGGCGTAGACCAACAAGGATGAGTAGAAGTAGATGGTGGGCTAAGAGCTTGGAATGACAGGACGCTGAGCTGGCAGAGCGGCAGCAGCAGCATCATCATCATCGTCAGCAGCGACTAAGGATGTGACAATGCTGAGCCCGTTTGACATGACCATGATATAATAAAAACCGCAAACAAGTAATGCCTATGAACCGCAGTTCTCTAGCCAAAGGAAGTTCTCTAACCAGGAGGTGGGAGTCCTTGGTCCAAGTCCAAGTTGAAATAACAACAGCAGAGGCCAGCAGGCCAGCGTAGCAAGAGGATGACTACTCAAGTGCTGTTGTCAGAGAGAGAGAGACAGGGAGCTCCTGCTCGTCGTTACTTGCCAAGCAATTTACCAGCAATCTCTGATGTTTAGTTTTGTATAAAAAGAATGGAGATTATCTTTTTACTTTCACTTTCATTATTACACTTTTTTCCGTAATTCAACTATTATTTCTCTCAGTGGATTTAGGGGCCGTGGGCATGCCGTTATCCTTTGGCGTGATTAAGCCACAAGTGCGTGACATTTTAATGCGACATTTATGCCCGGGACAAGAGATTATTATTGGAAATGCGCGCCCGGCTCGCGTGACAACAACAGGACAATAGCAAAGGCAATACCAGCGGCATAAATATAAACCGCAGGAGCAGCAGCAGCAGCAGCAGCAGGAGGAGGAGGAAGGACCTCCTGGAACTGTAGCTGCAAGGATAACAACACAACTTGCTTAACGCCCTGGCCCACAGCTTATTTATTTATCTTTACCCGTCTGACAGCCGAGTGACAACTTTTGTTACGTCTCCCCGTAAGAGGGACAACTCTATGTCCATGTCCTGTCACAGTCTTCGAGACATTTGTGAGCCACCTAAGGAAGGATGTGGCCAAAATCCAGGCAAACATATTTAATTAGAAGCCAAGAGGCAACCCCCATCTGACAAATGACAAAAAGGATCACGAGAGGAGAAACTGCCAAGCAGCAAACTAACATAACAAAAAAAAAACTAGAAATATAAATGAAAGTTACTATAAAATCGGATAAGGTAATGGATATCTAGCAAATCGCTAATGCACATTACCATTACTAGCTGCTAAAAACCTTTCTAACAATGTTAAGAGAGATAAAAGGCTAGACTGAAATGAATACCTAAAGTAGAGTTTTCCTAAGGAAGCTCAAACTCAACTTAAGGCAAAATAATAATAATAATAAGTAATCGATACTTGAGAATGCAGCTGGCATATCCTTTCTGCAAGTTGTTGACTAAGTCCTTTTCAGCTTTTGGACAAACATTGAACGGGGAAAGCTGGTAATCGATCTATTTGAGTACTTCTTATCGATAATGACGAGCTCTCTTGATGGGCAATAATAATATCCTAAGCTGAGCTGTATAACAGTTTTACGAGGCTTTTGTGGCTAAGTGTGGGTTAAATTTGATGGCTGCTATTTTGGCTAAGCATAACTCACAAAGAGGAAGGTAATAACCAAAAAATTATGGTATTTAATAAGGGAAGTTCTTGTTTTTTTATGGTAAAAATAATACACAAAAAAGGCAACCCAAAGCCTGTCAGTCTGTCAGTTTATAAGTTAACCTACTTATTTTCTATTAAATATTATTTAAAATTTAACTTTAACTTTAACACTTACCTTTAGATAACAAAACAATTTGTAGAGTTTATTGCACCTTCACTGTCTTCTTTTTCCATTCAATCAATAACCCGCTGAGCTTTAGCTTTAGTGCTGATTTTTGGCTTTGGCAAATGTTTGCCGGATCAACATGCACATCCATATCCACCATATCCATATATCCAACCACGCCCAGCAGCTGCTGAAATTAAAATCGAAATCATAACATGTCAACACATTTTGTAATGCAGCAAAACTAACCAAAAATAATAAAAGTCTGGTCCAAAAAAAAAAAAAAGGGGGGAGAAAAAAAACAAGGGGGAAAAGGGAAAAACTGACTGGGAAAAAGGGTTGGCGAGCAAACAGGGAAATAATGCAAATGCAAATGAATCCGCGACAGCGGGATGTCGGTGGTGTTACAGGAACAGGTGTTCCACTTGCTTCTTTATGCCAATAAAAACGGTTTGCATATATGTGTGTGTGTGTGAGTGTGTGTGTATGGGTATGTGTTCTTGGTATAAAAATGTAATAACAAAGTTGGCGGCGCTGCTTTTTATGGCCTTTTTGTCATTGCGTTTTGTGTTTGTGTGCAGTAAAAACTATTTACCCAACCTCCATACCAGCTCCCTTACCTCCCTCCCTGACTTGCCATGACTTTTGTGTTTACCAGCAAAATGCCAATGGACACAATGTTCTCACGAAAGGGTGGCTCAAAATCAAAAGTCTATTTGAAAAACTTAAAAAGAAGTCACTAAAATTATTAAATCCCTTTAAAAAGAGCCAAAAAATAAGCCTTACTAACTTATAAATTTATATTTACAGCTATTCCTAAACTAAATATACATTTAAGTTTTCAAATTAACTCACATAGTGACTTACCCTAGTGCAGAATGTGAGTTTGGGGTGGACCGTTGTCATATCAGTGTGCTAAAAGTAACCGCACGACGCTGAAAAGTATGCAATGGCATTGCCTTCCCCTCCTGCAGCGAAGGACTTCAGCTGCAGGGACGACAACGACAACGATGACGACCAGTCTCCCGGATCTCTTGCTGTTCCCCAAAGTTCCCAAGCTACCGGATCTAGAGACCAGAGACCAGAGTCCAGAGTCCCAGTTCCATGTGCATTGGCATCAGAGTGGCGCCGCCCGTCAGCGTTTTCATTTCAAATTCAAATGCTGTTTGCATAAAAAACGAGCCAAGACATCGAAAGGCATCACGTGCCCGGTACTCCTCCTGGCCAGCAATCCTGCATGAATGTGGGGCCAAAAAACTGTTGGAATTCTGGAGGATACCCATACGCCAAACGCCCCAACCATTTCACCGAAGTAGTGACAATAGCAACAAACGGATGGCTGCAGAGATGTATGAACGAACTGTGAATGCACAAGGAGAAAATTTTAGTATAATTTATTAAATAATAGGGTTTAATGTTTAAATTACTAACTAAAAAAATATGGTAATAAAGATCAAGTTTTATGGATTGGCCAAGTTTAACTGTTATAGCTTTATAGTTAATCTTTGTTTAGGTTTTCAGGATTTTTCAACAACCTCAAAGTTATTTTTTATACATTTTCCTTTTAAAATATAAAGAAATCAAAGAAATGTAAACCTTAAACTAATACAAAATACTTTAACATGCACTTATAAATCAAACATTTTAACATTTACTTTAAAAAACTAACAAAGTTAATGCTAAACTAAATATTTAGTTAATCCCGAACACACACATTTGCCTATCAAACTCCCTTTTTTAATAAGAAAAATTATGAGTGTGATTTGTTTTTCAGCGAGTTGAGTGGGTTAAGTCGGTGGATTGCGGCAGCAGTGTCGTTGGCCTCCATTTCCCGCCCAAAAGAATAAAAACAAAAATCGAAAAAGCGAAATTGCAAAAGACGTTTCATTTGGCGTGGGACAGAGAGAGAGATAGAGAGAGATGGGTAGTATGGTATAGAATAGGACAGGGCGATAGCCAGCTGGCAGTCGTTTTGCATGTCCGTGTTGGGTTAAGTGGATTGTTTACTTTGATTACAAAAATATGGCAAATGTTTGCACGTTTGATGTCTCACTATGTGAGTGTGTGTGTGTGCGTGTATGTGTGTGTGAGACTGGGAGTGTGTTTGGTGCAGACAGATGCAGTGGTGATGGTAGGTTAAAAGAGGAATACGGCAGAAGGTGCGGTGAATGGAGAAGAAGCGATCGGGATTTGTATTTTATCGATGAAATTTTTGTATAATTCAGTCTGATAAATATGTAATTTGTAGAATAAATATGAATACCTTTATAAACTTTTCTTTTAAATTAGAATTCTGCAATCTTTTATATAACTAGAACTACCTTGTAGAATTCTTCTAGACTTCTCCTCTCACGATAGCTCCCCTTCACGTGGTCATCTCTATTCGCAAACAATGCAACTCCACACCAGCACACACATTCATATTTACATACACCAAGAGCACACAAAAAAAAAAAAGGAAAGTAAAGAAAGAAAGAAAAAGATAGACTCTAGAGGATAAAGGTTAGGAAGAGAGAGACAAGGGGGAGGAGTACAGTCCGCCAGCGAGACAAATGGCGTTTGCCTTGGCGCGCTTGTAAAATCCAAAAGCTAACATTATTACAAAAAATCTGCAGTTATACATTTTGACTTTGGTTTATTTTTATGATTTTCAAAAGTTTGCAGTTGACCGACCGAGCGACCAAGCGACCGAAGGACCATCGCTAGAATTCCCTGGTTGGATGCATTTTTATTGTATTGAGGCTATTGCGAGGACCAGATGGAAAGGAACTGTTGATTGTGTACCCAGAGTGGGCTACAAAAAAAAAGTATATATTGAAAGGAGTGGAAATTGAAAAGGATAGGTCAAGCGACAGGATCAAGCTTCCATTGTTTTGAATAATTAAAGTAAACTTCTAGTTAGCAGGCAAAAATAATCAAAGCCACTACTCAACTTCTACTATCCAAAGTGATTAGCTTCTTTCTTAGTACTAAAAACAATAATTTCTCTACCTAACAGTAACAGCCATCCCTGGTCAGCAGAGTACCATGTGGGTCACGTCATCGAAAGGTCAAAGGCATTTATCAGCCCTTAAGGCCCCCCATCTATTTGCATTTCAATGTTGAACTGTTTGCCCGGGCCAAAACTAATTTTGACAGGCGGTGGGAGAGAGAAAAAAAAAAGGGGAAAGAAAGAAAGTAAAGCCGCCGCTTTTATTGGAAAAATTTGTATTTGTTTTTTGGCACTGGGCATTGGGCAGTGGAAAATCGCAGCGGGCGTCAAACGTTACGCCCACAATGCCAAATAGTTTTCATTCTTAGCCGCCTTCTCTTCACCAATGCTGGCTGCATTTTATTTTATTAATGGGAATTTGTTTGGCCAAAGAAGAGGTGGTAGACTGGTGGAAGGGATGCGTTCAGGATGCGACCAGGATGCCGCCTCGTCGCTATTATGGCAGCCATTTGTTTGCACGCGAACATCCGAGTGCCGTGGATGCCCCACAGGGCGTATGCGCTATATAATTTTTCTCGCGCTCTTGGCGGTCTTTGCCACGCCCCCTTCACTCCCCTCTTGAAAAGCGTCCAGCAACGACCACATGTCGCTCATGATTAATTGAAAGATTCTCTCAACTTCAACTGTTTTCGGGTTTTTGCGTTTGCTTAAACTTCCCTCTTTTTCCCTTTTCCTTTCTTTTTCCTTTTTGCATTATTATTTCTATAATTTTTTATTTTTCGTCCTGTTTGGAGGAGCTTGTTGCTCTGTTTGTCCAAAGTATTTTGATTAATGAACTATGCTGAGGCGAAATTTAAATAAATTTCTAAGGAATATCCAATGTTATATTACATCGAGCTGGGCTTGGCAAGCAATTAGTTCAAGCAACTTACTTTGCTATTTCTTTAAGGTTTTTATGGCAGTTTTTTGAGGAGTTTTTTTTTTTGATAATGAAAACAATGTGCAAAGTAGGCAGATTTTTGTCTAGCTCGCGTCGTATCTCCATGTGTCAGGACAAAAGAAAAGCAAAGTAGTTCCTGGTCTCTAGGGCTGATGGACTGAGAGTAATCACAACCGAACAGTTCCTGGTCTCTATTACCGATGGAGCTGGACAGTAACTCCGCGTGGGTGCTTCTCCATAAGTCCAAAGAGGCAGCAATCCATAAACGAAAGGAAAAGTTCCTGGTCTCTATTAGCGATGGATTGGAGTTGGGATTGATTGTGTGTACTCTATAAGTCCAATAAAGTTTCCAGATTCCAGCACCGAAATGCGGAGTAAACAGACATAGGCCTAGTAGGCAAAGTATCCTGTGTTCCTAGGTTCATAAGTCCAAGAAATTAAAAGCAGAACAGTACCTGCTCTCTAGGGCAAATGAACTGGTACTCCCCACAGCCTAGCACAATCTCGATGTCGATGCTCCATAAGTCCGAAGAGGAACCAGTCGATGAACCAGAAAAACAGAAGTAGAGGAGGAGTTCCTGGTCTCGATGGACTAGAGCTGGGCAGTAACTCCGCGTAGGTGTTTCTCTATAAGTCCGAAGTGGCAGCAGTCCATAAACGAGAAAAACTAAGGCAAGGCATTCCCGATCCTCATGGCAGATGGACGGGATCTGGCAGTGATCACACTGCTCTGCTGCCATGTATGTTGATCCATAAGTCCCCAGTGACAGCGGTCCAGAAACGAGAAGAGGAGTTTCTGGTCTCTTTTACCGATGGATTGGACCTGGAACTGGAACTGGGAGTGATCAAAGCCTGGCAATATCTCCATGAGAAATGTTCCATAAATCCGAAGTGGCAGCAGTCAACGAACGAGAAAAACCAAAGCAGAGGAGTACCTGATCTCCAGGGCCGATGGACTGAATCTGGCAGTGATCCCAGCCGGGGAAGCTTAACTTAACTTATTCTTAAATAATCCACATTGCATGGGCGGCATGCAAGCCGTTGCAAATTCTGCGGATCATGGGCGAAATATGGCCCTTGTCTTATGGAATAAATATATAGAAAAGTTTGCCACCTACCTTGAATTTTCTGCTTACATCGTCATCTATATCCATCATTACACGTCATCAAAAGTCCAGAATATGGATTCCCAAAAAAAAACTTCATGATGCACTGCATCCTCCATGGAGGCCAAGTCCATATACCACCAATGTAATGGTGAGTACCACTGGACCACTTGCGGGCACTTGGAAGCACTGGAAGAACACAAACACACACACACAAAAATGACTTGACTGATTTTTCACTGACCAGCAGCGCCCTAGTCACAACATTTCTGTCAGAACCTGTTGGGAATTACAAGAGCCGCAGAGTACAGACAGTTAACTTGGAGTTAACTAACATAGCCGTTAACGGGCAGTTAACAGCCGAAACTTAACTTTCAATGAATTTTTAAAATTTGGCCGTTGGAAAAGCCGATTTCCCTGGATTTTTTTTTGGACATTAGCTTAAGCTTTAGCTGTTGACTTATAGACTTGTAAAATAGGTTGGGTTTTCGTCAAATTAAGCTATATATCGACTATGAAAAGGCAAATTTAAGAAGATAAGCTTCATCATGGTTGAGATTACTCATGATTATTTTGAGTATTATTACCAATTACGATTTGATAGCCTTCAGTTGTAGACTCCTTTAGTCAGAAATGACAAAGTTCTTATTGGCCAAGTTAATGAACTAATTTTCAAAACAATTCTAGAGTAATTCGCGTTGCGCTTGATTGCAATTACGCCTCTGTGCGTCTTAAACGAAGCCCTAGCAAGTGACCTCTACATTCCCTCTGCCAGGGAAAAGATAAACAGGAACTCGAGTCGGTACAACGATCGTCCCGCAGCTCACACCAACTGTCTAGCCTCTTCCGTGGCCAACACAACAATTAGAAGACGTCTAAAGTGAAGGCATCCCGCCGATCTCTGGACAAGAGGACGCCAAGTTTCTCGAGTCCTAATGCAGTAACTAAACTTAGCATTGATCTCTGGTTATCTAGTTGTAAACATTTATTAATTAACTTCCTGTTAAAGCTTTTGGGTATTCTTATTCTCTTCTCAGTAATCTAGTTTTTATAATGACCTGCTCTTGAAATTTCTTTCCATATTTCTTTACTTTCCTGCAGCTCATTTCCTTGCCTTGAAAGGTAAGGTTCAACATAAATGATATTATACTCTGGTTGATAGATTTCTTCTTCTATTAATCACCTCCGAATGAGGAAAAGAGATTTTCTGAACTTGCTTTTACCCCAAACAATATATAAAACTAAAAATATATAGAGAAATATTTTAGGCCCACTTACCTTAGTTTTGCATATTATTCCAGGTTGTTGTTGTTCGTTTTGGCATCTTTAAGCATATTTGAACCTTCCTTCATCCGCGCAAAAAACGTCTAATTTCCGATTTACATTAAATTTTCCTGTGAAAATATTTCAAATGTCTTTAAAAGTTTTCAAAAATTAAATACAAACTCACATTTCCACTTGCCCCACCGAGCTGTCTTTGCATTTAGCATACAAAAATAGGTAAATTCGCTATCTAAAGAATACAAGAGAATAAATACGAGAATATGTATGATTTTGATAGATAATTAAAATTAAAGCCGAATTAAAGTCAGTAATTCGTATTAATTTATTTCATATACATATGTATTCACTGTATGTGCAGTTCTTATGCCTAATAATCTCGTTACACGTATTTCACGTAATCTCAAGATTACACATACAAATGTACTTGCAGCCGTTTGGCAAGCCAAACAAAGGCTTAAAAGCAATGGAAAAATACATTTTAGCGCAATCTGCATACCTCGATTTTCAATATTATTCAAGGTTCTAATTGGGATTAATTAACATAAAGCTATTACCTTGACTTTCCTCCCAAAGCGAAGCAAATGCGATTTCCCATATGTATGTATGTACATATATTTACATATGTACATGTATGGATGTCAATAGGTCCAGCCAGATGTACACAACATGTACACAAATTTACATACATACATATTTGTAAAGTGTCTCACATCCATACATATTTTCACTTGTCCAGCGGAGCACCCCTTCCATTTTCGCACAGAAAACAGGTAAATTCACTATTAACACAATTAATCTTGAACAATTTGCAAAGCACAGTCCTGGGATCACTTGTTATTTATTAATTTAACACTTTTTTATACCTTTTTAAAACACTTTAAAACCAAACGCAAATTTACTATAAGCAATCAACCGTTCGCGGTTGCAATTTATTCAGACTGACAAACGAGTGAGAAAACAACAGTTAGCTCTGTCGATAGGCGAGGGAGGGGAAGCTTGCAAAGATCTGCACGTTACCGCTTCTCTCTCATTTCGTTTCTCTCTTCACCAGCAAATTCAATTCATACACTTTAAAAAGAAATTCGGAAACTAAATTGGTCAATATGATCTATATATGAATAATATTAATATTAAATAAATTAACTAATATTAAAGAATCATAGACGAGAAAAATGTTTACCTCTTTTTATAAAATATAATAAATATTTTATATGTTATTAAATAAATATTCAATAATATATTTTATAAAACAATTTAAGTAAGAGATCAAATATACTAACTATTAAAGAACTGATAAGAATTACTACATATAATTATTTTTATAATATTTATCAACTTTTTTCGCTGTGTAATATTATGTCCACCAAAAATTGTTATGCTTTGCTTTGGCAAAGAAAAGAAGACGAAATGAGAGAGGAGATGGAAGGCAAAGATCTTTGCGAAAGCGTTTCTAACTGTAATCCTCTTTTCTGTGCCTGCGCTTTCAAGATATCTTCTTCTTTTTCAGTCATTAAGTTTTCATTCTTAAAGAGTTTCAGTCGGTGTTGGGTTGTGATCTTTTCCCCCTTAAAAGGTGATAAGAAGTGTATTAAAGTGTTTAATTAATAGATTAAAAGTGATCTTAGCATTGGATTATGAGTTTGGTTCATAATAATATTGTCTAAATGGCCAATTAAAATTTTGTTTGCCTTAATGAAAAGGGTGCTCCGCGGGACAAGTAAAAATGTATGTAGATAAGTACATATGTAGGTAAGTATGTATCTTAATTTGTAAATTTACATAAATATGTATGTACATAATTTAAATTTCAGAAATGTACGCATAAAAATAAAATGTGATTCGGAAATGATTTTTGCGGAAGAAAGAAGGTAAACATGATATTTTTAAATGTAACAAACCCCAATAAGAAATTTGATTTTTTCATTGCTAACATTACCAAACCAATATTATTTTAAAACTTTTTATACAGATTTCTGCTTAAACGACTAAGAGAATGTACGTATTTGTTTCAAATCGGTTAACACATTTACCTTCAAATTTATTATTAGCCCAATCACTTGCTACACAGCAATGGCAGACAGCGCTTTAAACTTTGTTTTAAGAAATTAATTTTCTTGTCTTTCGTAAAATCGCAATGAAATTTGCGGGAACCCGAATGCGAATCATTATTCGGGACTTAAAATGGCATTTATCACATCGACAAACTCCTGCTCGACTGGCGGTCCCATTACTTATCCGAGGACCCTCCTCCTGCGACTCTGAAACGGAATCACAGACAACTTGAACTTCAAGGAAATTTTGTACTGGAAAATATTTACTAGGCCAAATATATTTTGTAGGAAAACTAATTGATAAGACTATTCTCCGAAACATCTGTGACAAATACCGTTCTTTCTCTTTTTTATGGGTTACTTCTATCTCATTCTATCTGATTATTAGACTAATGGAGCATACTTGCTCATCGATGTTCCCGACCTAAGTGTCAGTTTTATTTTGGTGGCCACCTTGTCTTATCTTTGCCTCAGCTCTTTGGCGATAAGAGTTCTATCGTTTGGCTGTGCATCCGAATCCAATAGTCAGTGTCGAAATGGCCGGCGAATATATCACATTGGAGAACCCGTTGACATATCCGGGTTACGGTTCCAATGGTTCTGAAAACGGAAAACATCGTCCAGCCCAGAGATTCTCCAACAGTTACCTGATCCTATTGATCTTTCTGGTGGGCAGTCTCTTAATAATCCTCTACGCCTATTGGGATGTAATGATGATCACCGCCGTTTCCATGCCATTGGCCAAGCGCTTGGATTCCAATGATACAAGGCTGATGGACGGAACGCTGGCGGAGAAGCTTTACAGGGAGGTGAGGATCCTGTGCTGGGTACTCACCACACCGAAGTATCACAAAACTAGAGCCGTCCATGTGATGCGAACGTGGGGCAAACGCTGTAATAAGATCTACTTCATGACCTCGGAACGTGATGATGAGCTGCCCACCGTCGTGCTGACCAAGCCGGACACTTATGAGTTTCTATGGGGCAAGACCAAGGAGGCATTTACTTACATTCATGACCAGATGCGAGATGAGGCCGATTGGTTTATCAAAGCTGATGACGACACGTAGGTTGGAGCAAGTTATTAGAATTTCTAATGAATAATGTTTGTGATTCTTTTTTGTATCTGCAAGACATAGAGGACATTCATATAGTTTTCTGAATATTTGATTTGAATTCTCGTATATCCCATACCTATGGCGTAGTTTTCAACTGTATATATTCTTGATCATATGTTCTTCTCTTATATGTATTCCTGATAAAACTCAACTAGACATGTCCGTCTCCCTGTCTGTCCATATGATTGATCACTTCTCGGAAACTTTGAAAGCTAAATTACTTATGATACCTATCAATGCCAATCAATGCCTGTCAAATCAGGTTAATACTTAAAAAGTTATTAAGAAATTCAATATATTTATCGCCAAATGAGAACAACAGTTGGCGCTATTGAAACTATACATCATCATTATACATTATACAGTGTCCCCAGCTAGCGACTTACAAGTAGCATATACTATTTATAGACGTGGAACTAGATAAAAATGAGTACATTTGTGAAGTAAAGTGAAGAAGATAACAACTAAATGTTGAAGCTGAACTAAAGTTGGAATGTTCTATAAAGCTTTTCTAATTAAGATACTTTTTGATACTTTTACCAATCCCTATAGCTACGTCTTCCTGGAAAACCTCCGCTATATGTTGTATCCTTACTCCCCGGAAATACCAATTTATTTTGGTTTTAATTACAAAATGATTGGCAATGGCCATCACAAGAATGAGGTGAGCTTAAAGTTAACTAAATATTTTGATTTTCTAATATTAAACTTGGATTATATTCTCAGTCGTATATGTCTGGTGGCAGTGGCTATGTCCTAAGCCGCGAAGCTCTAAGGATCTTTGCCGAAGGTCATAACGACACCACAAAATGCCGCCAGGAAGACGATAGATCTGAGGATTTGGAGATGGGCAAGTGCCTGGTTAATCTTGGCGTTAAGGCTGGGGATTCTCGCGATGAGCAGCTGCGAAACCGCTTCTATCCCATAGCCCCATTCGGAGCACTTCTCTCGGGCAATGTCGGCATGGATTTTTGGCTCTACAAATACGCTTACTATAATGCGAGATCGGTGAGTTTTCTTGATTTATTCACAAAATCACAAAACTCAAAACTTCACACATTTTTCTAGTGCATGGACTGCCTGTCGGAGTACCCGGTGGCCTTTCACTATGTGAACAGCAAACAGCTGTACGTGTACGACTACTTCAACTACCAATTCCAGTTAGCCGGACGGCAGCAGGTGCCGGAGCGACTGCCGAAAAAGATCAGGGAAGAGGACCTGGTCATACCCGAGAGCGACAATACGATATCTTAAGCAGGCGCTAGACCTTTGACCCTGCTCTACGCAAGCAAACAATCTCTATCCTTTTTTTTTTTTTTTGTATGTGTATATATGTACATATGTCTGCTTATCGTATATTTAATATATTATGGGTATAATACGGACGTGCCAAGGCTGGCAGATGCTGTCCTGTCCTACGACTCCATCTCGTCTTAGTTTATATATTCATGTATTTATTATTGAGCAGCTCGTGGCAGGCGGGCTAAAGAAAGAAGTTCAAAAGGACAATGATGGGTAGTAGAAGGGACCTTTACTTTGCTTTCTTTAAAGATTTAATTGGTTTTTACAAAGAATATTAACTAAAATGAATTAAAATTAGTGCTGCCATAGGCAGCCTTTTGCAACACTAAGATTTATGTTGGTCTCATTAATCAGTAAAAGAGCCAAACATTTTAGCTTTAACGGAAGGTTAACCCAGGGTGAGTTGGTCTAGGACTAAGTAGAAGGTTAGCCTGGAATGCTGGTAAGAAAAACACATCCCTGCAGGTTAGTGTAAGTCAATGTTGGACCATATTAACTTCAGTTTACAGGGTACCTAGGGAAATTTGCTTTACCTTGTCAAGTTGAGAACAAAATTGAAAATATTTGATGTATTGATATTTGAATTTAGAATGTGAAAAGAATGCCAAAAGATTGGTGACATCCCTTAAAGATTGAAGAACCAAAGGATAAGCTTCAAAAGATGGAAACCGAAACCCAAGAGAATACGATATCGGAACCTATTATTGAAGAAAAACTCTCGTATACAGCCAACGAATTGGACCCGCTTCTGCAAAAACTTATCCTATGCGGTATCATGTATAACCTCAATCAACATCTTAACACATTGGTTAAGAAATATCAGTCTTATGCAGACCATGATAAGAGAGAACTGGCTAGTTTGATACCATCACATCTTAGGTACAGGCCACCAGCGGTCGTCTCCACACTGATTCCCTCCAGGCAGACGCCCAAATTGAGCCTAAGGAAGGTGAGGCTGGTGGTCAAGGGATTAACTTTTCATCGCATTAGGACTTCTTATTTTCTTTACTTTACTTTTCTTTAACTTTAATTTAAATTTCTTCTTTATATTGCCAAGTTATATTATTAATTCTAAGATCCATTAAGGTCAAAAGCCTTTCTTATTTATTAACTTAAGATTGGCATTTAAGCAGCCACTTTCTCTCTATTTCTCTTTATATATATAGTCAGTGGGTCACCATTAGGATTATTCATTGGCTTATCCCATAAGCCCAATTCAAGGCACTTAACTCTCATTTTCGCAGGCTGCTAATTAAGGTCAACGCGCCTTTCGACTCACTCCCCTCATTCTCCCTCCCCATCTAGCAAAACGGAAAACGCACACGCATTTCGATACTTCGTTTTCCTAGGCTAATTAGGAAATCTGCCCAAGCCAACCACCCATCTAGGCTCCTTGGAAAAGTCGCGTCAAATGCTAGTGGCATACGAATGGTAATGGAAATGCGAAAATTTTTCGGTGGGAGGAAAAACACTTGGCTCTAATGCGTTGTATGCCTTTTTCAAGGCAATCTGTTGGGTGGTTTTGGTGGCTCGCATTGTTTTACCCAGCGATCCAGACAATTTCCGCTCGTAAAAGTGGTCCTCCACCATCGTTTGGTCCACCCATTTTCGGCTCTCTCTCTCTAGCTATGTGGCTCCTGGCTCCTGGTTCCTGGCTCCTGGCCACTGTAATTAATACCAAAATAATTGTATTTGGATAACACAAACGTAATCAAGATTAATTGAGTAACAGCAGGTAGTTTGCATAATTAGAGCGCAGACAGTGGACTCCCCGCCGCCGTTGGTCCACCGCCAACGCCACTGCCACCGCCACTGCCAACCTCATTCACATCCTCATGCCCTTTCTGCCTTCTCCCAAAAGCATAATTTGCAATTTCAACTGTCTGCCGGCGCCTCCCTATCCTGGTCCACCTGCCACGCCTCCAGCCTGCGGCAAGCTGTCTGTCTCGCTTGTGGCTCATTGGTTGGCAGGATCGGGTCCTATGGCAAATGGAACCAGGAATATCCTAGGCTAGTGGCTAGGGTCCAGGAGGCGCACATCGGTTTTAACTTGGAAATCGGATGCAGTTTGGCAAACCAACGTGGATTTACTTCTCAAGGAAAATTACTCATGTAAAACCAAAGGGGAAATAGTTGTGATAGTAAGAGAGGTTGTTCTTTACATTATTTCATGCTTTTGGAAAGTTTAATGATTATATTATGATTTGTCATATTTAAAAGAGGTCTTAAGTTGCATTTAAAAGCCTTTAAAAACTAAAAAAAGAAAAACTTAAACTGCATAATTGCCGTAAAAATAAGTCACTTTTATATTTTCCACTATGAAATTTCCTTTTTCTTTATTATTTGTTGTCTTTGATATTCTCTATAAATCGACCCACCGTTGTGCAAATATATGCCTGCATTTTTGTGTATGTATGTGTGTGCCAAGGGGAGGCACACAAATCATTTTCAGTTTGTACAATTTCTATGTCAACTTGTGTTGGCTTTTCTTTTCGTTTTTCGGCACTCCCACACGCTCTCCACCCACAAGTTCAGCTTGTTGTGCCACTTTTGTTTAGCCGGTTCACACACACACACACACCTATGTATCGTATCTACCCTCATACAATCACACACACACACACAAGTACAATCGTTGTTGCTCGACTGCACTTCCGGCCTTTTTGGCTACACCGCCATTGACTGTTCAACCATGCAGCTGCATACAGGCAAAACACACAGACACATACTTATAAACACACACACACACACATGAGCATTCTATACACATGCAGTATCAGGTTCGCCGGCATATCCGGGCTTTATACCAGGCAATGGACTTTTCCTCGGACAGTGGAATAGTTAGGAAAGAAAAGTAAGATCTGAAATTTGAGCTATTTACGTGGATAAGATTGACATCTTGCATGATTTTTTTATATATATAACTTGTCAGCATATTTTTAAGCCTCTATAAAACTTTACTAACAATGTTATAAGTTGATTAATCAATAAAATAAGCTAAAACTTATCTACGGCTGATTTTGTTGTTTATTTCATAGGCCCCCAAAAAGTAGGCAACGGTTTTCGCCACTGTGCCTGCCGTGCTCTGGTGCCTTCGTGTTGGCCCCTCTCAACCCTTTGGTTTTACCCAACGTGTTCATTTTTTGTTGTTTTTTTGGGGTTGGCTGGGGGCAGGAGGTCCTGTCAGCTTTTTCAGCTTCAAACCATTGAAAAGTTCTCAGTTGCAACTGCAAATTATGTTGCCTGGTGCTGTTGATTGTTGCTACTGTTGCTGCTGTTGCTGCTGACAGTGCCTGATAATGGCGTACAATGTTTATTTACTTGCTTTAACATTTTTGCTGCTGCTGCTCTGCTGTTCATTTTACTTTATTTTACACACCACCCCCAATACCCCCTGCTGCACATGCAACATGCTGACAATGAGACACTTGAGCATTTGGCGCCTGATTGCATGCCACACTCTTGCCCAGTGCGAGTTGCAGTCTGCACTGGGAGAAATCAAAGGGGGGTAATTGGGAAATACCTCATTGTTTTAGCCGTTACTTGTAGTTATTCTAAGAGTATACACTATACTATATACTCTTGATCATGATCAATAGAGTAGTCTATTTAGCTATGTCCGGCTGTCTGTCCTTTGGTCCTGTGATCTCGGATACTTTAAGTTCATATTAGAAAACATAAAGATTCTGTTTTTTACTGTCAAAAGTTGGACAAGTCTAATAAAATCCCAACTATGTAACTTTGTAGTATGTGCAACAAGCGCCATCTGTGGGTAGTTTAAAGCAAATTGATCACGATCAATAGACAAGTCGATTTAGCCATGTCCGGCTGTCTATTCTACTATAAGTTCACAAAGATTCTGTTCACAGATTCTGTTTTTACTGTCAAAAGTTGGACATGTCTACTAAAGTACCAACTTTGTAACCCTGCATTATGTGCAACAAGCGCCATCTGTGGGCAGTTTAAAGCAATAAAAATGTCTTGGGTGCTAAAGCTAAAATCTTTTGACTTCGATATTCATATAAAATTTATAAGCCATAAAATTAGTAAAAAATAAGATAAATAATTCACATATTTATGTTTAAAAATGTAAACTAAAAAACCTTATTTTTAAAATATAAAAAAGGTTCAAATTCATACAAAAACCTAAAAACCAAATTCTTTAAGCTAACTTAGTTCCAGTGTTCTGTCAGTGTATTTTTCTTTGTACGGAAGTGAGAGAACTGCAATTGGTGTATATGTATATGTGTTGGTGTGGGTGTGTTTGTAAGTGCTGCCATCTCCGTCGTGTGCAATGTTTGTTTGCTTTTTCGACTTTGACTTAACTTATTTGTTGCTCTTCCTGTTGCTGTTACTGTTATTATTGTTGCTTGTATTGCTGCTGTTGTTGTTGTTGTTGTTGTTGTTGTTGTTGTTGCAGTTGTCGCCACATATACTAATACACACACACACACGCAGGATGCTGCTTCTGCCGCAGTCGACGCTGTAAAGTGTCGTGTTGGATTTGCGTAATTTATGCTCTATTTGCCTTTCGGCTTCATTTCACTTTTTGCCGCTGCTCCTGCCACTTTTGCCCAAGCAGCAGCAGCAGCAGTAGTAGTAGTAGTAGTAGTAGTCACTTACCCTGACCCCCGCTTTGCCCCCTTGAATGGGTGTCCTTCGCAGGACACACTAAGCTGCGTGGGCTTTTGGCTTTCGGCTAAGCCAACTGTCGACGACAAAACGTGGCCACCTACATGTGAAGATCGGGAGTATCAGTTTTGGGGTTTTTGGTTTCGGAAACTATACTTTACTACTTAATTTATTAATATTTTTAGCAATCTAAAATATATAAAAATATATTACATGGAGTAAGCCCAAACGATTATCTCTTGAAAAAAGTCAAAACCGCTCCCTTGATTCTGTGCCAATCCCTCCTATCTGTAGTGTAGGGCAGCACCCGCAAGGATCTTTTCCTGGCCTGGCCACCTTTTTCGGTCCGGACTTGGCTTCATTATTTTTATAGCATTGCTCAATATGAGAACTCAATAAATTCTAACTCGCACAGTGCGGGGCATTTTCAACAGGCGATTAGTTTGCAAAGGTGCCAGCCAGCAGGACTCACTCACTCTCTCTCTCTCGTAGGAGTCCTTTACTTGCGCAACAGTTGAGTGAGTTGGGTGAATGGGTGGCTATGCGGGGCAACCTACGTCTAATAGGTTTTA